CTCTATAGACATATTAGGATCTAAGCCAAAATAGAGACAGGAAAAACATAGACAGAGGACCAATACATGCATTTTGCATCACAATTTAACTAAAATAGAAAAGATAAAATAAGAAAGCTGTCAATTTCCATTGGAAAGCACAATCAACTCTTCATCACCCTGTATAGTTCTAATATCCAATTATGGTCTCACGTAACTAAGATTAACTTCCAGATGAGAGCACAAAGCAATAGTAATCCTAATTTATAAACATAAAGACAGTTTGTGAAAAATCACAATTTTGGAGGATTGAATTGAACAAAGTGGAAGATGAGTTAGCATCTCCTGGTAGGCACATTCATCTTTCTTAGTCAATTGAACAATGCCATTAAGCACAAGCACTTTGCCATATGCCGAGGACTGCATAGAAAAGAGCCAACCTCAGTAAATTAATATACAACACAATAAAGAACATAAAAATAGAAAGCAAGTAAGGAAGGTCAGAAAAATATACTATTTTCTATTTCTTTTTGCAGTTAAAAGTCTACATTGAAATAGTTTCTTCATTTGGAGGATTATTAGGAAGAAGTCACACACTTAGTGCGATTAGCTACAAAATTCTCTTTACTCATTAGAGTAGAATACATGAGCATTAGTGTGTTATATCTACATCTAGTAGGAGTTGCAACATTATCTGTTTTCTCTTCCAACTTCTCAGCCAACTATCAAAGTTCTATTGGTATTACAACATTATTAAGAAATTACTAGAAAATATTTTTCAGTAGTAACTTCAACTTAAAGCTTGCAAGTTCACTATAGAGTTGCAAGAACTTTTGTAGATTTATATTTTGAACTTTATGATTTGCAAGCAAAGATGATTTCCACCTTATGTTTATCTTATCAGCTTTAGTACCTCAAAGCAAAATCCAAATATATAAAACAAATTTTGCTAGAACAAGTAACAGAATAATGTTGAAGAACTAATATCTTAATAATAGCAACTTTGATATCAAATACCTTGGTTCCAATTTTATATGTAATTTTTTCATGAAAATGCGGAGCAGGCATAATGTCTGCATCCCCTGACATTGCCTTTCTTTTAGCTTCCATATGAACCTAACATAACCCCATGCAATTATGTCAGTATAAACAAAACAAGGGTGTGCTCCCTTGAGGGATTAAAAATTAATGAGATTGGATAAAAATAAGAGGATATGCAGGGATATATGGCCAAAAAATTAATATGATGGGTCCATACGGCAAAACTGGATGGGAGGGTTTAATACATGTGTCATATTATGTTTGTTTTAACTAGGGATGCCAAAGAAGCACTAATCAACTTTTTTAATAAGCTTATAGCATGGCAATTAAACCAGCAAAGATGTTATTAAAGACTAACAAAGAAAAAAGAAAGGGGAAAAGAACTCAATCCAAACTCTAGTAGTTATCATCCATTAAAGCAACAAACAACCAACTAAAGAAGAATAACAAGAACAAACAAAGAAAGAGATGTAAAGTCACACTAGCACCAACTAAATTCTAGCAGTCAGAACTTAATACCTCATAAGATCACATGAAACACACTGGCAGAGAACATGCATTTTAATTAACTACATGAAAAAAGGGCAAAAAAATAAAGTACAAATATCAAGCTCAGGAAAATCATGCACACCTTAGCTCAAAGTGCCATCTCCACAACATCTACACCAACAACTTTAGGAAGATGTCCCAGAATATCTTTGCAAACATTTAAGATACAAAGTAGAAGATGGTTCTTGCAGCATGAAAGATTTTTAAACAGCTAATAGATAAAAAGGAATATATATACACATATAATTACATGGATATAAATATGTTGAGCCGCATCAAGCTATCTCAATGTGAAAGGTCCATGTCAGGTCACCTGTCATCAACACTGCGCATAGTCCACTAAGGAGGAGCAACACTCTGGCTTCTAAGGTTATCAAATCCCTAAAAAGTTCAGGGTACAACAATGATTACAGATATAAAATGGAGAGGCACCTGAACTAGATATTTTCTAGGAAAAAGGAATAACATTTTACATAAAGTATTAGAAAGATAAGTTTGACAAATATGCAATTAGTGGTAAAATTTAAGTTGTTTAAATGTAGATGTTTTCTATGGTTTGAATATAAATTCTAAACGGTTAGACATTCTTAAATTGCCAACATAAGATTATGATGACCAACATGTTTACATAGATATAAATATAAAAAGAAATAAAAAACGTAAAATATAACATTTAGCAACTCATTTTTCTTTTATCACATACACTCAAATTAAAAAAAAAAAAAAGAAGAAGAAAAAGAAAAACCCAAAAAAACAGAGACCTGTGAAACAAAAATTGAACACAAAAAATAAAGGTCTTAATAATGCAAGATCAAGGATCGAACTTGTTACCACTCTAAATATATTTTTACAATTTGTAGATGATAAGGAAGCAAGGCAACACTGCTCATGGATCAAACACCACCAACTCACCGTTTTCCCTGCTCACTAAGTTAAGCCTGACCCGTTCTTCCAACAAATACTCCAACCCCATGCCCTTACCCACCCGACCTGCTATTACCCAGCACACCAGCATTGCCCGCGCCCTCTCCCGCCGTTGGCGCTCTCGTGCGCGCTGCCACTTACGAAAATGTGCATATCGATGCCGCTCCCTTGCCACCGGATAACGACCGCATGCCGCCACAATCATAACCTGGACTAGAACCCCCGGTGCTCGAGCCTAGGCAGTGGAACCTCATCACCTCATTCCCATTCGTGAGACACAGTGTGTGGTCTTATCCACCACCATCGGAAGTGGCGGCCCTAGTCTTCACCATTTCCTAGTACTCCTCAAACTGGGTCATGGTTCGTGGCAAATTATGCACCTTGAAGACCATCTCAACCGTGCCTGAGAATGCCTTAGGGGACCAGCTCATGTGAAAATTTATCTCTACCACGTTTCTTGAAGGGTGGCCTTTAGGGAGCTCCAAGAGAGTCGGGAGGGGAGGGTCGGAGCTACGTGAGTGGCGTACGGAGGACTTGTCTCAGAAACGGCTCGATGGCTTTGGGCAGGAATCTGACTTTCTTGAACTGGGTTGTCTGGACGAGCCACCCCATTGGCTTCTCCATTTCTCTCACAAACCCTCTTATAAGAGTTCTACAGAGAGACTAGAGAGAGACTATCAGATGTGGAGTGAAAGAGGGAGAGATAGCAGATCTGAAAGAGAGAGCTCGATGGAGAAAAAAAGAGACGATGGCATTGGAGTGTGAAAGAAAGGGAGAGACGATCGGGGGAGGCAGATGGCGGTTAGGGCACTGGGAAAGGGAAAAGGGTTTTCAAATCATGAGGGGGGGGAAGTTAAAATATTTATAAAATAATAGTTATAAATAATTTTAATAATAATTAAGGCAGTTTAACACACCTTTTTACTTGAACCGCTGTTATATATTTTATAAGTTACGGCAGTTTATATAACCACTATTATAACCGCCATATTTTACAAAAATTACGGTGGTTGTAACCAACCGCCGTAATTAAATCACCGTAAATCACTCATTTTTTTGTAAAGTGATCTGTGCTGTCACCACTATGCCAGTTCTGCCGTGCAATTGCCACCATGCCATTGCTGCCATGCTGCTGCCACACGCGCCGTCAAGTGCTGTTGGAACTAATCCTCCTCCTACTCCTAAAGTGAGGATTTTTTAAAGGGAATAAACTATCAAAAAAATTCCCTTCTAAGAGATAGATACACAGAAGTGTATAATCTCTCAACTTAGATATTTCTAGATAAATCTCTGGATTATCTCATAGTTTAAAGAGTTAATAATTTCAAACTCTTAGAATTATCTATCTTTCGATGTATTCACTTGTAGCACTTATTATTTTCATAAATTTTTATTTATTCTGAAAAATATTCAAAATATAGTAATTATGAATTTTTTAATTATAAGTCTATTTATTTCAAAATTAATAAAAAATAACTAATAAATTGCAATCAAAATAGTTATAAAAATATGAGTAAAGTACGATTTTTCACAGTATCTTCTTCGGCATTATCCATGATCAAGACGTAAAAGATGGCAAAACATGGATAACTCCATCTATAAACGTGATTGAGAGTTTGGAAGGGTTAATTAAGAAATTTACTTTAAGAATCGTGATTATTGGTCAACTATCTTATGTTTACCCATATCATATATTCATGTGCTGAGTTGAAATCTTTCATTTAATATAGACGGAACTAATTAAGAGAATATTTTTAATATTATGCAATCCTATACTAACTATATAAAAATATTATTTCCATCATTAGAATGTTTGATTTATGAGTTATAAATAGATGAACAAGTAATTCTCACCCTTATTTAGCCGTAAAGAATTAGTAATCAGAAAAAGAAAACTTCCGCAAAGTATTTCCCAGTTATATCTGCAAATTGTACAGATTAGCTAAGTTGAACTTCTTGATTTCTGAGAAAGTTTACCAACTAGATTAGAACATATTTAAAATTCTACGCCCCCTTTCTATTTTAATTTTGGGTCACACATCAGTTTATCAAAGTCCAACAAAGAGTTGTACTATGTATATATGTTTAGTGTACTTGTGTTTGTATTTGTAGAAACTAGAAATACGCATTTATCCAATTGTTGCAACTCAAAAAATAATAATAACAATAACCCATTTTGATAGTTAACGTAGGAAAGAGAGAGGAGACACGTTGGGGCTTGGACTTTAGTCTTAGCTTCATTACTTTTAACCTAAAAGGTTTGGTTGAAGAAAGTAAAGAAGCAAGAAAAAGATTAGCAAAACGAAGCACTTCGGCTCACCATGTCAAGATTCATAAGGAGTTACAGGGGATATCAGGAGGAAGGTCAGACAGAAAGGTACAGCTTGTCTTTCTTCTTTCCATGACACGAAGGAAAAGAAGGGGAAAAAATCAAACAACGCAGATCATGAAATGTTGAACCAAAGCGGGACAAAGGGGAAAAAAAGGACAAAAAAAATTGAACCCCTTCATCTGCCTTCCGGATGTAATGGGAAAAGCTCCAGAGTCCTGTCTCCCTCCTCTTTACAGTACCTACTATCCTCCCCCCAGCATTCAAACGTCCATGTCCTGCACTTCCTCTTGTATGGACTGTCTTCTTCCCCAACCAACACCTAGAAGAATGAGCTAAAATGTCAATCTTGCGCCAAACAGAGCCTACCAATTTTGAAGTCACTAACTGCTAAAAGTTCAATTTTTTTGTATATTGACTCGTTTCTGTGAGAGAATTTTTTGAAATAAAAAAGAAACCTCCTATTTACAAAAATGACACATACCCTTATGTCCAATTTTGAGGGAAGGGCGGAGGATGGAGTCCTAGTGGAGTGGCTGAATCCCAGACTGTCGCGCTTCTGCTTTTGCCTTTCTCTAGCTTTATGGTTTTGGAACCAGTAGAATACATTCTTCCCTTCAATCCTCCCATATTTCCCGAGCTGGGCTGTGATTTCCTCTATCTGCTGTGCATTCGGAGTGCGCATTCCTCCCCGGTATAGCATCTCCAGTATCCTTATTTGCTCTTGCGTCGGGTTCCATCTTGTCCCACCGGGGTGCGTCTCTACCTATATAGGTTTTATCAAATTCATCAGTTTTCAAGCTAAAATTCTGTCATCTCCTCGACCATGAATCACGTATACTTGTGTATCTTGTTTCTTTTCTCAAATGATATAAAGATTTGAGTCAAATCTTTATTAACACTTTTAATTATAACACAGAGTTGCAGAGCTTGAGTACCCTAGTACGAGGGATGTTTAATTAGTATTCGCTTTTCAAGTCATCAACAAGACATTGGGATTGATTACCTTGTAGTACAAAGGGTGATGGGTAGTTTGATTTTTTAGCTCCTGAATCTTTAATTCCGAAGTTTTATTTTTCTTAAAAATAAAAGTTAAGAAAAAGTCAATAATTTAAAGTTTTTTCACTTACACCTAGAAATTAAAAATATAAATTAACTAGATTTTCCCTAACATTTTGCTAAAATAGAAACTAAAAGAAACTAAAGTTTGAAAAGCTAGCAGAGTTAGAAAAGATGCCCCTTAACGATTGAATGACCTTAGTGTGGACAGAATCTGACAATTAGTAGGCGCGACTTTAAAAATGCGTGCAGGTTAATTTAATTCGCGAAACTACTAAAATTACATATTACGTAATATAATACAAGGGTTTTGCACTGCATAAGTTTCATCTTCATGCAAGTACTGTAGCTAATGACAGGTAGAATTGAGAATCACCTGAGAGGTTTCTCTCTTCTCCTTGGAGCCACCGGTGTTCTGGGGACACTGTCAGGTCTAATGAATGTCTTCAGGTCGAGGGCGGTGGGGGAGATGGCAGCCGTTTCGCCACCGCCGAGCTTGGGGGCGAGAGGGCGGAGGCGCTTACATCCGAGGGAGAGGGAGGGTTCGTGGTCCCAGAACACACGTGCGAACTGGTGCACCTTCATGCTTGATGATCCCATGCGTGTGAGAGAGATCTGGGTTTGCGATAATGGGGAGAGCTGAGAGTTATATAGAGAAAGTGAATCAAATAAAGGAAGGTGGGAAATGAGGTGGGTGCCTTGGAGAACCAAGACCAAATGATGAGGTGAGGTTGACTTGAGGTTTCCACATGAAAAAGAAGAAGAAAAAAGAGAAAGGCACCCACATGATTGATGTTTCAGGGAGAGAGATGAGCGTGTGGCTGATTGAGTGAGAGATTTGGGATGTGTTATTTTTTAATTTTTTATCTGGGTTAATGATAAGGTATCCATGCTTTTCGGTGGCCTCTCTTGAGGTCTCTTCTCAACTTTTTCAGTATAAAGAGAGGAGAGGGAAGAATAAAAAGAAAACAAGCGAATAGGAGAAGTTGAAAATGGAGCTTTTGGAGATACGGATATGAAGGGAATGGAATTGCGTCTTGTAGTGGGTACAAGACGTTGAAAAAACAAAACATAAAACCAAATCTATCTCATACCCATATCTCCACTTCTCCATATCGTCTTTGCTTTGGGAACTGTTCGTAGCACCAATTTCCCAACTACCCTGTAACCCCACCATCCTCCCTTTATTTCATTTTTGTATTTCTCAAACACTGCTACTCCCTCTCGTGACTGTGTTTGGCCGTGGCGTACTCACAAAACTGTGTCAGTTTGATAACTCGATAGCTATTATGAACTTCACAAAATCACTTGGTAATATTTATTTTTCTTTAATTTAACAATTTTTGACTTTAAAACTTTAATTTTTTAAAAACTCCAGAGATATTTGATTTATTTAGATTCTAAGAATTATAAATTTTTTTAAAAAAATTGATAATTCTTTTAATACTCTAAATTCAAACTTTTAGAAATTCTAATTCTGGGAATTCTTTCTACCACACTTTCTTATTCGTGTATGATTGCTGACTGCTGATTGGTGACTTACATGCATTGTATGCATGGATGTATCTACTGCGCGTTCTGACGAACCCGAGCAAAGCTGGCGTCCAGCCGAATATATCAGGAGATCGACGTTTCTTTGGGGACCCTTTTCTTCAAGAGTTATGTGCGTAATTGGCTTTTTAAGTTTTCAAAGTTCGATTCAGAAAAAGGGTATTGAAAAAGCAAGTGTAGGGCAACCTGAAGTCGTCGAAATTGAAGGAAGCCGACAGTATAGTTGGTAATACGATAATGCAGCAGAGAGGCTACAGCTTGGAGATGAGAATGGCATGAAGATTAGATTGGAAAAATCAAACCACTTAGTCCAACTTTTGACGTTCCGTAGAAAAACGAAATTGTAGAAAGGTATGGTTTTTGGTTGATGATGGTTGTCGTTTTTGTCCGCGCTGCGAGCGGAGTCCGCCATCTACGAACGTTTGCTTTTTGAATTTTTGTAGGATGGAGATGTTGGATCTCGCCACGTACCTCGTCTTGCATGTGAAGTCATGTCAAGAAAATTTTGTCTTCTCCATTTCAAAGCAAGGCCGAGGCTGCACGTGCTTTTTCCACCCTCCTTGTCTGCAACAATTTTCAAAGCATACGGAACATGGATGAAGAAAAACAAGCTCTCCTTCAAATAATTTATTATTTCTTCATAATTTCGTTTTCATTTCCCTTAAAAAAATATGGATTTTTTTGAACATTTGTTCATCTGGACCAGTTATTTCGAAAGTAACTGACTTCTGCAAAAGCCAAATTAAAGAAGGAATTCGATGCCAAACACGTCTTTGCTTTTATTCTTTCACAAACTAACAAATAAATGCACAGATATCGAGGAAATAAAATCCGCCTTGAAACTCCAATTAATTGCTGAGCGTAAAAACCCAATTAATTCATCCTTTTAACAAGATTTTACCTTAATATTTCTCGCTTTTTCGTTTGACAGAAAGAGCAAATTACAACGTGGGGCCCGGAAAATCCAGTAAATTTTAGTTGGGTACAAGTCTTTCCAGCTTGACGCCGTGTTGTTAGTTGGACGATGATTTCAACGTTCACTGTTGAAGACTTGAACATTCCAGTCTCTTGTTGACGCCATGTTGTTCGGAGCTTATTAATTCATTTCATTATTGTTTCCTGCCAAACGAGACGCGAGGAGATCGACTTGGCTCATGACACGACACAAAACAAAACCATCAATCACGACAAAAATAATTTTCTCTATTCCTAACAAACATCCACCTACGACCCTAGGTGCTCATAATTCTGTTCCTAAAAAGATTAATTGCAGAGATCACCTGCATTATGAATAAGTAAATAGCCAAATAAGTATACTTTCCATGTATTACTGGTTCTGATTTATTCTAATTAGATAAGTGAAAGTGTCTTATCCGAGCTAGTTAACGTGACAGGAAGAAGAGATAACGGATTTATCCTCCCTCAAAGTAGCTATCACGTGGCTTTTTTTGACTTTACAAAAGTAAGATATTCAACTTATATTATTTTTTTATTTTAAAAAATCATTTATGTTTTTCCTCTTCTTGTCCAAGATCCAAGAGTAGGAGACAAGAAGAAAAAACTAGTGTGTTCCTTGTTATTTTCCTTTACTTTAACCATTATATAAAGCAATGCCCATATACCAAAATTGTTAATCAATTGAATTGTAATTTGAATTTGATCTGATTTAAATTTAAATTTTAAGATTTAAATTTAATTAAAATATTTGATAAATTAAATCTAATTATAAATATTAATATTAAAATATGTGAACTAAATATAGAATTAAGTAATCTAATGCGATAAAAATTTGAATATGAGTTTTTAATAATTTTTTTATTAAATTAATAATTATATATAATATTAATAAATACAAACTTATAGGGCTAAATTTAAAAAAATAAAAATTCAGTTATTAATATGATTGAATGGAATAAAGTTAAAGGATTTAATTATAAAAAAGTAATATTTTATTATCGATTTCATTGTCAAATTTTAGATTATTTATTAGATTTGAATATAAATTAATAGACACAAATCTTATAAAATTTCAGATTAAATTTAGATATACAACTGATTAATTAAATTTGAATTCGAATTTATTTAATTTAATTTAAATTCGATCTGTCAGCAATTTTTTATATAGGTTTTGATTGATTCCTTTATAGAAATCACGAAGGGATGTTTGGCATATACTTTTTTCATGACCTATACACATTAAATTGTGATTTTTCTTTACAAATAAGAGCTTTTATTTTGAAAAATTTACCCACAAAAATTTAAAAATTTAAAGAATTTTACAAAATTCCAGCACTTTTTATTCAAAAACACACTTTAATACTAGTGTTTCTCTATTTTTTTTTTGGTAATAAAAAATAGGATAATTTATGCACCTTAACAAATTACTTGTCTGACGGAAAAGAACAATGATATTGAAGAAGTTAATACACAACTTTCTCGGTAAAAAGTAAAAAAAGAAAAGAATCTTTTGCTGGTTTATTTCTTTTTCTTAATTATGTCTTTCAAGAAATGAGAGGAGATGGGTGACTGGAAGTAGCAGAAAAAAAAAGTGAAGTTATGTTTCATTAACCTTTTTGACATATATGCAAATTACTATTTGATAAATATAATAAACTTTTACCCTCGTTTCATTTTTACCATACTAATCCGAGTAGTAAATAATTAAATTACCCACACAAACAACGTTCACAGAGTAAAATGTTATGCCACATCTGAATAACGTGAATGACAAACTCTCTTAAAACCTGTCGTTGCCCGTGAGATTGACAATCTAAGGGCTCGACAAAAACCATCAAAATAAAAAAAAAAAAATTAAATTGGGAACTGTGAGGACAATTACGTGGCTACCCTTCGCTGATCATGAGATGTATGAGCTGGGAGAGGGGCTCCCTCATGATTCAACAAAGGCGGCTGCTCTTCAGGTGCTTGGAATTTAAACTTGGAACTAATGATTAGTCATAATTTGTCAAACAGCGTTTCCTGATCTCCAATGGTTAGAGGCCACGACAGCTTCCATTTTTCGGATTCTCAAAATGTCAATAAATTTTAAGTTGTATATGTTTCTGTAAATTACCACTTTTTGGGATATTAAAATTTTAATTTTTGGAGAACTTCTTGTAATTAATACTAATTATTTATAATTTTGAAAAATATTTGCTAAAATGACAACAATTTATACCCTAATGAGCTAAAAACTTGACAATGAATTAGAGTTTAATTTAAATTTAATTTAAATTTGATATAAATTTTAGATTTGAATATAATTCAAAAATCAAATAAATCAAATTTAATTATAACTGTTTATAATCTAAAATAAGTAAATTACATATGAAATTAAGTAATTCAATTTGTTAAAAGTTTAAATCTATACTTTAATAATATTTTTTATTTAATTAATAATCTTATATATATAATACTAATAAATTTTAACCTTATAAACAGTAAATTGAGAAAATTAGAAAATTTAGAGACAAATATAATTAATAGAATAGAGTTGAAAAATTTAAGTATAAAAAGTATTACTTTTTTACTGGGTTGAATTTCGGATTATTTATCAAATTCAGATATAATTTGACAGATACAGATTTTATATAATTTTATATTAAATTTAAATATAAAAATAAATAATCAGATTTGGATTAAATTTTGTTTGATTTGATTTAAATCCGACTCATCGACAACCTTATATTGATAGCCATTTTATCTTCAAGGTTTGCGTCATGCTTTTTTTTCTTTATTTTTAAATGTACTATTTTCTTATTATTTCTATTTATTCCAAGATTATTTCTAGTTCCTTAAATAAATAATTTACTAAAATATTCTCTCTTAGTCTATATTTAATTTAAATCACACAAAAAACCAAGTAGGTACAGCTAACAAAGGACTCCCGACTCCATTATTTGGTCAGAGTATTTGGTTAGCTTAAGCATGGAATTTTATTATTTGAAGGGCATAGAAGAACAATAGAAAAGATAAGTGTGAATTTAGTGAATTATGACAAATTTACGGGTGAAAATGATAATTTTAAACAAGCTTTTAAATTACAGTAATAATGATGGAATAAAAAGGTGGGTTCGTGACTTCATATCGGTCAAAGAAAAGGGTGGAGGGTGAGGGAGTTTGTGAAGAGGGTGGAGCCCACTCAGTGAGTCAGTGGAAGAAACGGTGGGAATCCATCATTCGCAGAAGACAAAGAATCATTTGCACGTGTCCACCTGGGCTAACCAAATTCCCATA